TTATACAGCCCCAGTGGCTTCCTTGCATGGTGACTAAAATTAAGTTGTTGTTCTGCTAAAATTTATATTTCAATTTTGCATTCTTTAAAAGAAAAACAATTGCCATTTTATTTCTACAGTTAAAAAATCAAAATGTACAGCACATGCAATATGAAAGTTAGGCTTATGAGATAACCTTTCAAATTATGATGACTTTTCCTATGTCAAATGCATAAAATGCTTTCCAGGACTTTTTGTACTCTTTAAACAAGATTCAAATGTGAGATTGTTTTTCTGTCCCCATCACCCTATTTTACTTGCTGCAATTATTTGTGTGATCAAAGTACTAGTACATAAAATACATTCATTTTTAAAAATATATAAACAAGTATCTATTTACTCCAAAACGTGCCCTGAACAAAATTAACTGAGAAAATTTCAAAAGATTATTAAATCCAAAATTAAATATAAGCCTAGGAAAGAAAAACTACAAATACATGAGAAAATATTTAAAATCCTCAGGGAATATTTGAATAATATTTGCACACAGAAAAAGGGGAATTGGCTATATATCCTTTGAAAAGTCTTTATTTCATTCAAGGACCTTAATCAGTCATGGAGATATATCATCTTAGAAAAGGATAACAACTGTAGTTTATGAATATTAAAGATGTTAAAAATGATGAATTGTAAAACTTAATTATAATGAATATCACTCAGGTTCACAGTAATTTTAAAAAATCTTTTTTTCCCCTAGGGAGAAATAGTTTATGTATGTATGCAAATACAATGTTATAAGAACATATCTCAGAAATGTGTTTTAAAGTTCTCTGTTCCTCTCACACAAAGTATACCCTTTAATGATGTGCACTTCCCATGACAAAAGCTTATATCCTGAGTATAATCTCTTCATAATAATGTACATATTTGTACTCCTTCCTGACACCTTACACTAAAATTAACTCCCGATGGATTAAAGATTTAAACATAAGACTTAACACCATAAAAACCCTAGAAGAAAGCCTAGGCAAAACCATTCAGGACATAGGCAAAGGCAATGGCTTCATGACTAAAACACCAAAAGCATTGGCAACAAAAGCCAAAATAGACAAATGGGATCTAATTAACCTCCAAAGCTTCTGTACAGCAAAAGAAAGAATCACTAGAGTGAACTGGCAACCAACAGAATGGGAAAAATTTTTTGCATTTTACCCATCTGACAAAGGGCTAATATCCAGAATCTACAAAGAACTAAAACAGATTTACAAGAAAAAAAGAAAAAAAAACCCATTCAAAAGTAGGCAAAGGATATGAACGGACACTTTTCAAAAGAAGATATATATGAGGCCAACAAACATGAAAAAATGCTCATCATCACGGGTCATTAGAGAAATGCAAATCAAAACCACACTGAGATGCCATCGCATGCCAGTTAGAGTGGTGATCAATAAAAAATCTGGACACAACAGATGCTGGAGAGGATGTGGAGAAACTGGAACACTTTTACACGGTTGGTGGAAGTGTAAATTATTTCAGTTATTGCAGAAGACAGGGTGGTGATTCCTTAAGGATCTAGAAATAGAAATTCTATCTGACACAGCAATCCCATTACTAGATATATACCCAAAGGATTATAAATCATTCTATTATGAAGACACATGCACTCATATGTTCATTGCAGCACTGTTTACAATAGCAAAAACCTGGAACCAACCCAAATATCCATCAATGATAGACTGGACAAGGAAGATGTGGCACATATACATCATGGAATACTATGCAGTCATAAAAAATGATGAGTTCGTGTCCTTTGTAGGGACATGGATGAATCTGGAAACCATCATTCTCAGCAAACTGCCACACGAACAGAAAATCAAACACCACATGTTCTCACTCATAGGCAGTGTTGAACAATGAGAACACATGGACACAGGGAGGGGAGCATCACACACTGGGTCTTGCTGTCTGAGAGGGACAGCAAGTGGTGAGGAGGTTGTGAAATGCCAGATATAGGTGATGGGGGGTATGGAGGCAGGAAACCACCTTGCTATGCATGTACCTATGCAACAATCCTGCATGTTCTGCACATGTACCCCAGAACCTAAAGTACAATTAAAAAAAATAACAACATACATATTAAGGAGGATATGTATGTTTATATCTTAATTATGACAAGTTTTATCTCTGGATAAGACACTAACAGATGTATTAATCAATTCATCCATTAATCAAATATGGTTATTTGCAGGTTCTGTTCTGTTCACATTCTTTGCAAGACAGCAATATATTCTGCTAAAAGAACTCTTTTAGCAGTTCTCATTCTATTTAAACTTTTCATTTGGCAGAACAGAGGAAATTCAGAAGTTATCAAATATTCTGAAATATCAAAGATATTTCAGAAGTTACTCTCATAATGAAGGATAATCGAACTAAAATTCACTAAAGAATTTCAGTTTATTATGATTTCTAGCCTTCTTAATCTTATGGTAATTGAAAAGACAGTGTTTGATTGACAAACATGAATGTAGAAAAAAAATCAGCATAATATTTTCATGGCTAACATTTTCCAACATTTTTTACCCAAATCATATTATTAAAAATTATAAAAAGTGATAAAATACTTTGCTTATTACAAATAGAAAAAAGTAAAGTGGTTTTTTTTTAGCTTGCTAATATTCATCACTGTTCTGACCTGAACCCCACTTATTTCCATTTGCTTTACATGAAGACAGAATATCTTAAGCTGTGAATAACATTATCCTAACCTTTTTTTTTTTTTTTCTGCTAAATTTGTAGAAAAACAGTTCCTATAGAAAATCAGAGGGGTTACCTTTATGCCAGTGTAAAGCAATGTTATTTCAGGTGTTTTCCTTAAGGAGCTGCATATTTGTTAACAAATTATTTTCCCAATATGACATATGGCACTTGGACCAAGTACTACATCTCCATAGAGCTTTCACAAAAGAAAACGTCATTTTGTATCTGATTGAACTTACCTCCTTTTAATGTTGAAGAAGACTAAAGGAACCACTTTCAACTGTTTTATTTTGTGGAATTTTTTTTTCTTTTCTTTTCTTTTTTACAGAATAACTTTCACAAAGAGAATATTTTTAAAATATATTATTAGAGTCATTATTTAAAATGCTTTCTAACTTACAAGCAAAATTTGAAAACCAAATTAAAAAAAAACTTTTTAAAATTCCTTTAGAGTATGCTTGGATAGAGTAATTTAATGGCTACCTTAAACAAATAATGAAAAATAATAATACGGTTCTGAGAAGCTTACCACCTAGTGAGTCAGACTAAAAAGTAAACAAGAATTGACAATATGTAAAGTGACAATTCTACAAAAAAGTATATACAGTGATAGGATAAACACAGCCAGCCTGCATCACTTGTTCGACTGGAAGTCTTAGTTTAGATGGGACTATGTGAAAACAAGTATATTCCATTTGTTTAGAAGGATCATAGGCATAGCATCCATTATTATACCTACAGTGATAAACACACATAAATTATTTTTATGCAAAATGACTTTGTTTGCATAAAATGATTCGATGTGGTTGATTCAAGTGCTTATATTCCATATGTATATTTTATAAATGATGATCTCAAGAATGTTGGAAGTAAATCAAAGAGGTAAGTATTGTGATAGAGGATATAGGGCATTCATAGAACATATCAGTTTTGGAATTTTATAATAATTGTGGAGTTGATTTTGCATTATTCTCATTTTAAATTTATGCTTACGTCTTAATAAATATTGTACATATAAAAATTCAGTAGATTTTTGCCATAATAAAATTAATTTGCCATGCCAACTCTTATCCAACTTCCCATAGATGCTGGGGACTCCATTCCACCACCATCATCAAATATGTCAAGGATGTTTATTTTACAGATGCAGAAATTGAGACCTACAGTTAATGACTTTTCTAGACTTCTATAAATGATAATTATATAATCTTCATTAAAAGTTAAAATACTTTGGGCAGTATGGCCATTTTCACAATATTGATTCTTCTTAACCATAGCATGGATTGTTTTTCCATCTGTTTGTGTCCTCTCTTATTACCTTGAGCAGTGGTTCCTAGTTCTACTTGAAGAGGTCCTTTACATCCTTTGTTAGTTGTATTCCTAGGTATTTTATTTTCATTGTAGCAATTGTGAATGGGAGTTTGCTCTTGATTTGGTTCTATTTTAGTCTGTTATTGGTATATAGGAATGCTTGTGATTTCTGCACATTGATTTTGTATCCTGAGACTTTGCTAAATTTGCTTATCAGTTTAAGGAAATTTTGGGTTGAGAGGATGGGGTCTTCTAAATATACAATCTTGTCATCTGCAAATAGAGACAATTTGACTTCCTCCTTTCCTAATTGAATACCCTTTATTTCTTTTTCTTGCCTGATTGCTTTGGCTAGAACTTACAATACTATGCTGAATAGGAGTGGTGAAAGAGGGCATCCTTGTCTAGTGCCAGATTTCAAAGGGAATGCTACCAGTTTTTGCCCATTCAGTATGATATTGGCTATGGGTTTGTTGTAAATAGCTTTTATTATTTTGAGGTATGTTCCATTGATACCTAGTTTATTGAGAGTTGTTAGCATAAAAGGCTGTTGAATTTTGCTGAAGGCCTTCTCTGCATCTATTGGGATGATCATGTACTTTTTGTCTTTGTTTCTGTTTATGTGGTGTATTATGTTTATAGACTTGCATAGAAATAGAAATAGAAATTCCATTTGGCCCAGTAATCCCATTACTGGGTATATACCCAAAGGATTATAAATCGTTCTATTACAAAGACACATGCACACATATGTTCATTGTTTACAATAGCAAAGACCTGAAACCAGCCCAAATGCCCATCAGTGATAGACTGGACAAGGAAAACATGGCACATATGCACCGTGGAATACTACACAGCCATAAAAAATGATGAGCTCGTGTTCTCTGTAGGGATTTGGATGAATCTGGAAACCATAATTCTCAGCAAACTGCCATAAGAACAGAAAATCAAACACCACATGCTTTCACTCATAGGCAGGTGTTGAACAATGAGAACACATGGACACAGGGAAGGGAGCATCACACACTGGGGTCTATTGCAGGGGACTAGGGGAGGGACAGCAGGGGGTAGGGAGGTTGTGGAGGGATAACATGGGGAGAAATGCCAGATATAGGTGATAGGGGGATGGAGGCAGCAAACCACATTGCCATGTATGTACCAATGCAACAATCCTGCATGATCTGCACATGTACCCCAGAACCTAAAGTACAATTTTAAAAAAAAGAAAAAAAAGTTAAAATACTAACTCCATATTTATAAAATAAGGATCCACTGTGAAGATGGTGAGTGCTGTCTAAAAATTGAGTGCAAGGTAATCTCTTTCTTGACAGGCCTTTTCTCTGAGAGCTGACTTAACCACACATGTAAAAATATCTGTCTTTTGCAGGAGAAGAAGCATACAAATTTATTTGATCATAGTTTTATGTGGCACAGGAGCCTTTAGAATGAAGACCCCACACAAAATCTTTCATTTAAAATTTTCAGTTTGTGTATTTCTTTATTCTTCCTAGTCTTCAACATAAGTACTTCAGGTCCAACCCCTCAAATGTATCAATTTAACTCATGATAAGTAACTATAATTAGCCTTAGATGTCCCCTACTGTCTTACTTTTTTGATGGCTCAGAATAAGTCCTCTCAAGTGTGTGAAGAAAACTTTTTGAGTTCAGGTATGAAGCCTGGGCCATTTATCTTAATTCCTGGCAGGCTCCTTTTGTTTAGAAAAATCATGTTAAAAACTTTTAGTGACCCTGTACATGATATGATTCTCTGGATTCTTGGCTTAGAACATGACAAATTATTAATCAGAAACTCAAAGAAGTTGTACAGCTGTTTTTCTTTGCCATTCCACACCATCCACAGTTCATCAACATAATGGTGAAGCAACACACCCAGAGATGTTCCTTTTTAAAAAATTTTGTTTTCTAGCTGTGATAAGAAGACAATCCTATGTGAACAACAGGCTGAATAGAATATTAAAATAAATTGTAGAGTTGAAAGTAAAATATAGAACAAAGTGATATTGATAAATGTTTAATTTTATTGATCATTGCAGTATTAAGTATTGTAAGCTATTCAAAATATGAAGAACAATTTTCCATATCTAAGCCCACATTTCTGTTACAAATTGATAAAGGGAGTAATTCTAGATGAGTGAATTGAATGTATTTCATATCCTTCCCAGTTCAATTAGCTACTATTTCACAAGTTTCCTCCAGACAAAATATTATTTTGAAGAGTGTGTCAGCCCACATTAAGCTTTACTGGACCATGTTGTGAAACTCTTTCCAATTCAATAGTTGAGAGTCACTGAATTTCTTGGCAAGAGTAGATGAGGGTAGGAAAAGGGTCACATAATATCAGTGAATATTTTCCAATGTCTTCTGAGAAACAGAACAAAAGCAAAACAAGACAAATGGTCCCCATTTGTTAGGAACAATGCATGAGTCTAAATTAATAATAATGAGAATGAAGACTTCTGTGTCTTCTTTTGTTTTATGTAACGTTTATCCTTGAATAATATCATCTCTACCAATGGATTTACCTTGTCTCTGCATGTTGACTATATTTCCTAACTCTAAACTCCAAAATTTCAAAATCTTCTGCTTAGACATATCTCTAAAACCCAGGCATGTAAAAGTGAGTAGATATCACAAACTCATCATATCAAAAACTGCAGTAGCTTTTCAAGTGACCTATGAATAGCCACTTACTCCTGTGTACCTAGGTGACCATAAAGTTCATTATTCAATCTGGGGCACTTTTGTGAATTCAAAGGGCTTCTATTAATAATTACCTAGTCAGCATGCATGTAGAGGAAGAGTGCTTGGAAAATCAGCATGTGTGATCATCCCACATATGCTGCACTTAGTTAAATTCCCCATGAAATCTAAAACTTTGAAAATAGTGATCAGCTTTTTCCCTTATTTACCCCTTTTAAGGAATCATTAAGTTTATCAAGATACCACCATTAAAAAGATAGCTTTTGTGACCAGTCACATACTTACTCCTTATTTAAAATAGTCATAAATTTTCACCTGAACATGAAAAGATCCTAACTGGCTCCTGTGATTTCAGCATCTTCTCTTTCCAATATTCTCCTCATTGTCTATCAGGAGGATTTTTCAAAACTAAAAATCTAGTCAGATTAGTTTTCTCTCAGAACATTTTCATTACTCTCTTATGCCACTTAAATGCTTCTTGGAATGTAGAGCATTTTTAGTTTTATACTTTAGCTGATAATAGCTCACCTGCCTGCCACCTGTTGCTAGAACCATGTGCAAACATTCCTAGTTTCCCTAATTCAGCATACTTTTGACACCAAAATGTCTTTATACAAGTTACACTCTCCTCATGAAAAAGCCCTGTCATGTCTTATGATTAAGGAAAGCTTAGAGTTTCTTAATTATCTTTTAATAATATTTTATTTGATCAATATAAAGCACAGAATTTTTTTTCTTTTCTTTTCTGCTTCCTTTCTCTCTCCTCCCTCCCTCCCTCCCTCCCTCCCTCCCTCCCTCCCTCCCTCTCTCCTCCCCTCCTCCCCTCCTCCCCTCCTTCCCTCCTTCCCTCCTTCCCTCCTTCCCTCCTCCCCTCCTTCCCTCCTTCCCTCCTTCCCTCCTTCCCTCCTCCCCTCCTCCCCTCCTTCCCTCCTTCCCTCCTTCCCTCCTTCCTTCCTTCCTTCCTTCCTTCCTTCCTTCCTTCCTTCCTTCCTTCCTTTTTCTTGGAATTCTCCTGGGAAGGCTGGCTATAAGGTAAACATTGTCTGTTTATCACCCAAATAACTACATAGAACATTCTCATTTTAAAGGTAGATTAGTGGATAGAGACAAAAAGCAGGGACAAAATTTGCACACCACATTCAAGTATTTAAAAATAAGTTGACTTGTTTTTTGTTACTAATTTTATCTGAAAAATTTGAATTAGTGTTAGTGAGTAAAAAAAATATATACCCAATTTGTTTGTCTATGATTAATGGAAGTTATATTAATTGTTTTCTGACATGTATTTTTGCTGACAAGAAGTCTAACTTTCTGAGAGGGAGGATAGCCTTTATTTTTCTTAGTGTTTGGTTTGTTAGTTAAATATGATGATTCAAGTTTTACTTATGTTTTATAAGCTTTTAAGTATCACTTTATAAATAGCTTCTCTTTCCAATTCTCCTTTGGAATGGCTTAGTCATACTTCTTTATCTGTTAACCATTTCTTTATCCGTGCTAAACTGTATACTAATTTCTTATTAACTATATTCCAACACAATAATTCTGTCTTTAGTTTAATCTTATAAATTGTTCAATTTTTCTATTAATGTAATTATTTCAATAACACATTTTTCATTTCTATAAGTTTTTGATATTTTGCAGATGTAGATATTTCTAAATCTTGTTTGTTTATTGCTTAGATTGCTTCATTTATTTAAACTTTTTGACATCTTTGCCTTTCTTTCTGATCAATTTTATAAGTTGTATGATTATAATTTTCTTATTGCTTTCACTGGCACATTTTTCTAACATTTGTTTTTCCTTTCAAGGTTTATAATGTTGGATAGTGACCTTATTGAAATGGGTTGTTTTCCAGATGAATTGGATGTACCCTAAGTTATAGAGATGTTATTCTTCATTTTACAGATGGTTCCTAGCTTTAGGTTGAGAGATTAGTTCCAGATTCATGTACTACTTAGACCCATGACCTCAGTGTCAGTTCCTACATGGGTTTTAACACCGAAGCCTCTTAGGCACATTTCATTATGATGTTCCATGTGCTATTTGCTTTTCTTCTCATTTATCCTTGTGGATTTTTCTTCCTCTTTTTTTTTTTTTTTACTGTCATACTGAAAAACAAAACAAAATAATACTTTGTTGCTTTAAAATTTAAGTTAAAAAAATTTCAAAATTAAATTAAACAATAAAAAAAGCTTGTTTAGCATTTCTATTCAGTGTGAATTGAGAGAAGGCTTCCTGTATTTCCTCTCTGTTTTTGAAAAATAAAAATCTTTTGCAATTTTTTTCTAACTAAGATGACATCTTGATCTTTTTGCCTCAGACCTTACCTCAACCATTTCTAGTATTCTACCTTGTGAAGTTACATGCAGTTCTTCTCTAAATGTATTTGCAATTTTTCAGTTTATAACCCGGGAAATGATTAAGAACCCATTCCTCCAAGATTCTCTTAAACGTATTTTATTTTTTCTTTGTACATACTTCCCCCAGGAGCTTTTCCTAAAACTAAAGAGTTTTTACAATCAATGCTGTACCAGAAGAAATCTTCATGCTAACTGATGGCTAGTAGGCACTAAATAAATGTTAAATGAATAAATTCATAAACGAAAAGAATAAACCAGACAACCATATCTAATTCTAGTCTATGTTCTGTTTTTCTTAGTCTTCTGGGCTTAGGAAAAGCTTCTCTCTTACATTTCCCGTCATACACAGTATACATTCTCTATACCCAAGGTTTACATCAAGACTTTAGCTTATGTTAGCCAGGCTTCCTTTTAAACACACACACACATACACACTCAAATATACAAATATTCAAATTTTCTCTCTCTATATATATATATTCTCTCTCTATATATATATTCTCTCTCTCTCTCTCTCTCTCTATATATATATATATATATATATATATATATAAATTCAGTTTTTATATATTCCTAAACCTATGGTTTATAAAAAACCTATGGTTTATATGAAAAATTAATCATGCCTGTGTTTCAGAACAGTAGTCTGCAAATTATATTTGTTCATTTACTTTTTGTTCTAGGTAGTTGATACTACTTACCTCTTGGGGCAATAAACTTACTTTCCTAATCTTAGTGCTAGAACTGCCAGGAAGGTTTGATTTACTGAACAATGAAAACTTCACAGTAAAACATTTTCAAAATATTATACCTATTTCCATGGAGAAGTTACAAAATTGCAACGTTGATTAAATGAATTCACAGAAGGTCCTATTTCACAAATAGTGATAACCTCCAAGAGAGTAAACACTGTAAATTTTACATTTTAATCTTGATAAAAGAATTCTCTATGTGTCCTAAAGGAGCTATAGAAGGCATAAAAACATGTGCTCCTGGGATCCAGCAGATAACTACATCTCTGTGGACTCTCTCACTTGTTGTACTGGCTATACATCTACTGAAATAAATTGCTAGCCTTTAATGGATTTCCACTGGGTAAAACAAGTGAAAAAGAATGATTTGTGGACTGATAGATTTTTACATGGACTCTCTCTGATGTCTTTGGCCTGTGTCTTGGATTGCTCTTGAGCTATCACATACAGAATCTTCTGATGGGCAGCAGGAATAAAGAACAAATACTCTTCAAATCATACAGTTGTCTCCTACTAACCAACCCTTCCTTTATGTTGCAAGATACATTGCATCCCTTGCATAAAAACAAAAAAAAAATCATTCTTTTTTGCTAGAGAGGGAGAGAGCATGTCTTGGCAGGCCACGAATACACAAATAATGAAGGACTGTCTGAATCATCAAGATTTTAAATTCTGGTAAACTCAACTTTTAGGGCTGAATGTACTTTATCATATTGCACTTTGAAATTCAGTAATCCATGTATGGTGTATGTATCCTTGAATTGTCTGCAATTTTCAATTAAGCAAACCATGGTATTCTTCAGGCATTACAAATAAACATAGGTTATTATATTTTTCAATTATGCCATTTTCAAACAATTTTTTGCCTCCTTCTTTATAACACCAAATCTTTTTTCATTTTCAATTTGCCTTCTTCAGATCAGTACCCCACAGGATGTGCCATGCAAAAATGGCAAGTCTCTATTTCTGCCAAGCTTAATTTAGATACCGCTAAAGCTTTCAATGAACATATGTGGGAGAATAAATTTGGGAGGAATTGTTAATCAAAATGGGTTATATCTGAAGCAGTTTGAGAAAAGAGTAAAGGTTATTAAGAAATAAACTTCCACTAAACCAAAAATAAGAATAAAGATGCTAAAAGTATGTAATCACCCTGAGTGGCAAATGAGTTTGGATAGCTATCTAAAATCTATAGTTTAATTGAAAAGCAATGTTTCTTTTTGAGCATGATTATGGCTTTCAGTCAATGAACCACAGAATTTATGATATGGCATTTGTATTGTAGGCTAGATTTTAAATGAAGCTTAAACAAATAAGGCGTCCCATACTGACCCAAGCAAAACTAAATTGCTGTTAGGTTTTACACAGCAGGAGGTAAACATTCTTGAAATAATTGAGCATGATAGAATATCATTCTTACTTTTTTTCGAAAGTCTTACACAAGACCCATATCTCATTTCCTCTAAGTTGATTCTGTAGACTGAAAGAGGATAATGATCTGATTTGTGCCATGGAACAGAGCCACCTCTTTATAAAGAATATTAATTATCATAATAAAATACTATTGATGTAGAGGCAGAGGAAATTACAATGGATCTCTAACTTGATAAAGGTAGAACTGACTCTTTTGAATTATTCATGAATATTAACTTAATCAGTAAATGTTATTATGCACTTAAAAATAAGAAAAACATTTTAAATTTAAAATGTATCACATACGGGTACACCTAAACCAAATAACAATTTCCATGATATTTTGAATTAAATTTTTT